TCAGATTCTGTTCCTTCAATTAGGTAGAGAAGGGGTGTGGTCTCAGGAAAGGGGGTAGGACAAGGGTTGAATGGGAGGGCTTAGGGGGTCCTGAAAATTGTTACATCAAAATGGGGGTGCTGGGGTTTGAGAACAGCCACTCTAGGGCACAAAAAAAACCCAAAGGAGGACCAGGGGATGGTGAAAAAGGAATCTTCAGAGGGGATGTGGTTCTCTCCACGCTGCACTCTCCCAGAAAAATAAAGGCACTGACTCGAACACAGGAAGCAGACCAGCATGGCATAAGGCTAAAGTAGTAGGAGAATGAATTCTCATTTCAATATAGGTGGTTATAAGGCTCCTGTGTGCTGCACATGCAGGGCCAGATACACCTTATGCACCACTAGGTACAGCATCTTCAGCCCTCCTGCCTACAGCTGACTGCCATGTTGCACATAGTTTTGGAAAGGTAAAGCACCCCTACAGTGCCAGCCCCCTCGGCACGTGCCTACTGTGCCTAATTGGAAACCTACTCTGTGCGCATCCATGTTACAGTCCATAGGATCCCTCAGCTACAGTTTCTGGGTAGCAAGTAGAGAGACCAACAAAAAAGTCCCACATAAGTCTCATGTCTGACTGGCCTGATATCACCCAATATGGACCCTCAGCTCAGGGAAATGTTGGCCTTCATCCTCTGGTCCATCAAGTGAATGCCAAGTCCCCATTTAGTGAAGTAACAGTCTGAAATGATCCCAACTTCACAGAAGGCCCAACCATGCCATATCAACACATGAAATGAATTAATGCTGAACAGCACCATGTACAAGACACCTTGTCTAGGAACTCACCAGTTACAAGACTGTACTCCTTGACATGCAGAGACCCATCTAGCAGAAATTACTCTGATTACTGTGGAAGCAACAATCTTCCTCCACTCAGATGATCCATACTGAACTCAGTGTGTGGTGCTTATTATTTAACAACCTGTAGGGACAGGCTTTAACCACATGGAACGCCATCTCTCCATTATGCTCTACTGAGCGTCAATATTGTCAGATACTTATCTGTTTGCATTTGGATAGGAAGATGATGTCTGTTTGGATCTGTGTAAGTGTCCTCGTGTACTTGATGGATTTCCACTCTATATGGCTGAATGCACTGCCTGGCATGTTCAAGAGTTTCAGAGCGGTAGTTTCAGAGTTTCAGAACAGTTCTGCAGCACCTCAGAGATCAACAAAAAATGTAGACGGTATCATGAGCTTTCGTTTGAAGAAGTGGGTTGTGCCCATGAAAGCTCATCTACATTTTTTGTTAGTCTCTAAGGTGCTGCAGAACTATTTGCTGTTTTTTCAGATACCTGTCACTGTGACTTGTGTTCTAACACAGGACTCAACAGCTGAAGAAAAGGACATAATCAACCACCAGCCAGTAGCAAAAATCCAGTCGACTGTTCCTCATAACACAGTACTAGTGTGCAGATACTTCAATCACATGGTCACTGGCCGTAATCGAACTGGTTACGAAACGGTTAGTTAATGCTCCCCAAATGATGATGATAGGTTAGTTCATGCTCCCCAAATGATGATGCCACTCACTGTGCGTTGCTGAGGGCATGTCTGTTATGAGCTCTGTTATGGATGCCCTAACACCCATTGCTAAGCCTGCCTTACCAGCAGGGGACATGATGTGAAGGACACTGACCACATCCTCTTCAGAAATTACTCTGCAGTGAACTCTCCCCAGTCTTTGGGGTGCAGAAGCAACAGCAAATTCAGACCATAGACTAGTTGTGTCTCAGCCCTTAGTGAATGTAATGAATCCTTACAACCCAGACATCCACCTACAGTGCAACGTCCAGCGTATAGCCAAAGATCCTGTTGAAGCTACAAAATACACACAAGCCATCAAAGAGCACATAGATAACCACATAATCTTGATACCATCTCAGATGACATGGAGATCATCTGGAATGGTATACATAATGCTTTGATACATGCTACTGCCGGAACAATTGACTTCAGACAGTCATACAGGAAACTGTGGCTTTTCAAAGAGGCTTTTGATATATTAGTGAAAAAGGAAGAAACAAGCAAGCAGGGAAATGCCCAAGAACATAAACAGCTAAAAAGACATTTTACAAGACATGTCAAAGGGTGATTGAGATCTCTGCCGTGGCTGACAAAGCAAAGGGCAGCCCAAAACTACAACAATTGCATCCTGCCTACAAAGCCACCATAAACCTGGCTGGCAGCCATAAACAGCCTTCTAACATCCCCATCACAAAACCAGATGGCTCTCCCTGCTCATTAATGGACAAGGTCCCGCACAGACTGAAAACACATCATGAGAGTGCTGAAACCACATACCTGCTGACAACCATCTAGAACTATGTGACCTGGCAAACCACATGGCTGCAGAGCCAGGACAAACACTGATCCTCTGGCACCCAAGGAACTATGAAAGGCCACCCAACAGTTATAGAATGAACATGCTGCTGGACCTGATGGTACTACACCTGAGTTGTTCAAAGGTCCTTTGGCACCAGTGAGCATCAGGCTACCCTCAACTGTCCTTAAGTGTAAGCATAAGGCAAAGTACCAGCATGAAAGTGTCCCTGTACAAAGACAAAGGATCTTGCATCAAGTGTGTCAACAATAGGCCAGTCTCATTATCATTAGTCCCTGGAAGATCTTCACTCGTTTTCTGCTCGGTAACTCGCAGACAGACCTGAACTGACATCATTGTCCACTGCAACCAGGTTTCACTGTTGGGCTGCTGACTATAGAGGCTGTCTTTACCTGTGTGCTTCTGGCTGAGCTGCACCCAAAACTCAACCCCTAATTTCACATGGTACCGCCTGACATCCAAGTGACTTTCGACCCAGTCACCAGATCAGCATTTTGGCTTGCTTTGAAAGGAAGTAGCAATGCAGATGTTCTGCTAAATACACTACACAATCTTCATACAGGCACCAGTGCAAGGGTGAGCACTGGTTCATGGCTTCTGCCACATTTCTATACAACCACAGGCATGCAGCAGGGATGCAGTCTCATCCCACCACTGTTCTCTGTTGACTGGATATCACAACTTACTACTACAGAAACTGGAATGAAGGTTAAATGCTGCCTTGCTTGTGGAGAAAACAGAATTTCAGACGTGCCATCCAAGATGCTACCTTCATGATGGGGCTGAACAAGTGCAGGTCCAGAACTTCAGAACTAGGCTCCCAGAATGCCTCTAGCTGCTCGAGGTCCAGGTGGGGTTGAGTATCATGTAGAGGACAGACAAGTTTATCTACATAGGCTCTGAGCAGAATACAAATTGGTCACCACAAATCTCTGTGACTTAGTTCCTCTGCCTCCTGCATGCCATGCATGTCTCTTCTAAAAACAATTTTGGAATCAGAGTTCAACATCTATTGCTATATGGGTCAGAAATCTGAACCCTCTCAGGCAGACCTGGGCAGCTAGAGGGATTTCATATGCAGTTTCACTGCCAAATCCTGGACACAAAGTGGTCTGACTGTGCAAAAATGTCAATCGCACAGATATCTGTGGTCTTCCTCCAAATACTGATTATATTCAAAAGTGGCACCACTTGTTTTGTTGCCAAGAGGGACAAACACAACCCGGCACACCATGCTCTCAAACTCTTCATCAACACACAAAGTGGCTACCCCAGAGATTCATGGATTCACAGGATTAAGCCAGTTCTGGGAACTTCACTACAGAAAATCCAGTATGACACCATTAACCACGGTCACTCTGGCTGGCAAAATGGTCTTCAGTAAACTCGGTCTGATGATGATTTATAGTTAGACGATAAAGAATTTATTAGCCCTCGATGACGATATAAGTTTAATGCTTGAAGACGTAATACCCAAATGTGCTGTCAGCATTATAAAATAAAGGCAACATTCAGAGAAGTTCTTGTGATTCTCAGCAACCTCCCCTTCCCCTTGTTCTATATTTAAACTGACAACTAGATTAAAGTCGTCAGTGCAGGAATGAGAATTTTATTGACATGCTTCGTAGGTGGTATAGCTCTATAAAATAAACACATACAGAGCACACTGCCGGGTGTTACTGCACAGGCAGCGATTTTTATAGCATTGACCTGAGGGAGTTTGCATCTGAAATCAATCCCTGATATAAAGGAGATTCCGGAGGACAGAAAGAGAGATTTTACAAATATCTGTGAAGAGCGTGGGCGGAGTCACCCCATTTACTATTTTACACCCCAAATGAGAAGACAAAGGAGTGTGTGAAATGCTAAGAATTCCTTCCCAGGAACATTCGCCACGAGACTGGTGGTAGAACATATAGAATTAGTTACACCCCACAACACAGCTACTCACCCTGAAAACAATGGCCTGATCTCCGCTAGCCTGCACCTTGTGCAGTCATTTCGGCTGATGAGTGCAAGATGCTATCAGAAGAGTACGGGCCGTCTCCTTGACTTCACGCTGGTTGGCATGGCCATGCAAAGTGCAGGGCAATGGAAAATTGGGCCCAGAGGAACTTAACTCATGTGTAGAGTTGCCAGCTGGTTTAACCAAAAATATCACCACCACCACCCCAAACCAACCAATCAAAACCAAAACCAAACAAATACCGGGAAAATAAATTCTGTTGCGTTTAAAATAAGGGGGAGACCAAAGTTGGGGGGGGGGGAGGAGAGAGGAAAAAAGACCCCAGCAGTTGTTAAGCAAAAAATAAAATTAAAAAAGCATGGCCCCTTTAAGAAGAGGCTGTTTGCCGGCAGCCATCTTGTTTTTCTGCTCCAGCCACAAGATAGCTCCCCTGCAGAACCAGGTAAGCGAGGGAGCCTGGCAGGTGGTCCGGGGGGAGGGGGGAGCCTGGTTGCTGAGTGTGTCATATGGGTTGCCAGGTGTCTGGCATTTTCACCTCCTGGCAAGGAAAAAAAAAATCAGAAAATACCAGACATTTTAAGTGTCCGTTATTTTCTGAATTTTTTTTACTAGACAGGAGGCAAAAATATCAGACACCTGGCAACCCTAACTCATGTGTTTGCCGGACTGGGCCTAACAACCACTTCAACTTATTTCTTTCATATAAAGCAAAAATAAAACACCCAGGAGGGCGACTCCCTTTCTGTTGTCAGGGTCCCAACAATCACTTACTGCTCCTCTGCTTTATCAAGGTTGGATCACCCTTTCCCTCAACCATATGGAAAACAACGGGAATTCACCAGGAGTAAGAGGATAACACAGAGGGAACGGACACCTTGCTGGCAAAACCATTCTGACCCATGCAACAACATCTGCATTTGATCACTGTTGGTTGTCCAGAAGTTCTCCGCCTGCCTGTGAGTTTAGCCTTTCTTAGCTGGGATGAGCCAGGTCACAGCAGTTCACAGATCTAGTCATAGCTAAGATTCCTGACAGACGAGGATATTTTCAAAGAAGAAGAAATGGGAGCTGGCCACCAGACTCCCACTGGAAGACTTTCACCAACCAAATATCAACAGATAAGTACTTCCACTGCTGCCCTTCATATCATCGAATCATAGAATACTAGGACTGGAAGGGACCTCGAGAGGTCATCGAGTCCAGTCCCCTGCCCTCATGGCAGGACCCAGTACTGACTAGACCATCCCTGATAGACATTTATCTAACCTACTCTGAAATATCTCCACAGATGGAGATTCCACAACCTCCCTAGGCAATTTATTCCAGTGTTTAACTACCCTGACTGGAAGTTTTTCCTAATGTCCAACCTAAACCTCCCTTGCTGCAGTTTAAGACCATTGCTTCTCGTTCTATCTTCAGAGGCCAGGAAGAACAATGTTTTTCACTCCTCCTTGTGACACCCTTTTAGATACCTGAAAACCGCTATCATGTCCCCTCAATCTTTTCTCTTCCTTATTTCCGTTTTCCCTCATACGACATTTTCTTAGACAATCATTCTTGTTGCTCTTTGCTGGACCCTCACCATTTTCCCACATCTATCTTGAAATGTGGTGCCCAGAACTGAACACGATACTCCAATTGAGGCCTAATCAGCGCAGAGCAGAGTGGAAGAATGACTTCTCGTGTCTTGCTCACAACACTCCTGTTAATGCATCCCAGGATCACATTTGCTTTTTTTACAACAGCGTCACACTGTTGACTCCTATTTAGCTTGTGTTCCACTATGACCCCTCGATCCCTTTTTGCTGTACTCCTTCCTAGACAGTCGCTTCCCATTCTATACGTGTGAAACTGATTGTTCCTTCCTAACAATCAAATGCACTTTGCATTTGTCCTTATTAAACTTCATCCTGTTTATCTCAGACCATATCTTAATGAGGAAAATCGGTATATGACACAGCACAGTCTGTAGTTAACTCCTAATTCCCTTCTGCTCAGATTCCTTTGTTTCACCCACTTGCTAAGTCTTGGATTTAACCCAGTTTGTAAACCTCCTTAGGAACAGTCTTTTTAAGACTACATACATGTAACGGCATCTATCACAATGGATTTCTGTGCCCTGACTGGTCTCTAAGTACTAACACAATACAAACAATAAATAACAGTCTTAATGGGTTATAAAGGTTTATTTTAATGTTTATATTTTAAAAATGTGATTAGAATAAAAGTAACCTTACAAGTAATTTTTTTAAATTATAAAATGTTTGTAAATGATAATGATTTTGGACCACATAATAAACTTAATTTTATTAAGTAAGGCTAGTAACAGCCACAATGAATGGTTTCAAGACGACAAGGATACTGTCCGGATGAAAACCCATTTTGGTTAAAAATCAACCTTACTTTTCACCTGGTGCTCCATTTGCTTCTTGAGTCCAGCTCATTCAGAATAGACAAAGAACACTGACTAATCAATGCTATCTTCAGCTCATCTTGTACTAGCAAAATGCTGCAATATTTCATTTGCAAACACTGAGGCCAAACCTGTACCCTTAACTAATCCCTGAACACCCCAAACTCCCACGGGCTTCAAAAAACAACAGAGGGTGCTCAGCAACTCAGACATGTTGCACGATCAGGTCTCTGCTATGATTTCCATTTGTACCCCAGGGGCCTGCAAATTGCCTTTTATAGCACAAATGCAAAGATTCCAAGTTTGATCCCTCTTAAACCAATGCAAATCACGAGTAACTCTAATAAAATCGGCGCATTTAAACTGGAGAGGTCAGAATCCGCCTGACAGTTGTACACTGAAGAGAGTACAGTTTAATTTTAGACATGACAACCTTTAATGCAATTTTATTGAATCAATTTTAAATCCTTTCATTAGTTAAAAACCTTTAAAGGAGTTTGAAATTACTGTATTTCTAGGAGCCATTTCCACTTGCCTTCCTTCTCGTACAACGTTCCATTGTTGTGTTTGGGTCTTTTTTGTTTTACAAAACCTTCTTAGACGTAAACGACTACTATTTATTTGTATGAAAGCAGCACTTCAGGGCCCCAATATGGGATCGGCACCCCTTTGGGCAAGGCACAATATACACTTAATGAGAGAATAGTCCCTGTCTCAACAAGCTTGCAACATAAGAGAATCACGCTGAAGTGGTCACCTTCTTCCAGCTCCAGCACCACAGTTGAGGCTCACTAAGTCACACTAATGCTAGGCCTAATGGAAGGTTTTGCAAATAACCGAGTAAGGGAATTTCACACCTGTGCACAAGGCCAGCATGAGACACATACAACATTTAAGTGCTACAGGCCATGCGATGGTCCTCTGTGCAAGGATGAATCCTGGTCAAAATACAAATCTCAGTGGTGCCATTTCTAGACTATTGCCATAGATTGTAACTTAAAATCAATGATATTAAATGCCAAAGTCACTGCAAAGCCAGTTCAGGTTGCAAAGCTTGTGGTGCGTGGCATTGCTCAATGCATGCAGATGAAGGGCAAGGACCTAATTAACTTCAATTAATAATGTTTCTTTTAACCTTAAACAGCAGAATTAGTAGTTAGCAGGCTGCTTGTATTGCCTTGCAAATCACATTATAAAGAAAATGTGCATTTTACCAAAGACAGGGAGCGTAGGATTTTCTAACTTATTTTGCACCAACAGACCAATCATCTGTCCTTCATATAACACAGATCATCTAGTTTGTATGTGTTCTCTTCTAAGGACCTAATCCTGACAGATGTTAGTTTTAGATAATGGACAATAACTTCAACTTCTCTGCAAAAAAAAGGGAAATAAGAACAACCCAGGAAAGTACAGACCAATTAGTTTAACTTCTGTACCAGAAAAGACAATGGAGCAAGTAATTCATCTGCAAACATCTGGAAGAAAATAAGGTGACAAATAACAGCAACCATTCATTGTGGCTGTTACTAGCCTTACTTAATAAAATTAAGTTTATTATGTGGTCCAAAATCATTATCATTTACAAACATTTTATAATTTAAAAAAATTACTTGTAAGGTTACTTTTATTCTAATCACATTTTTAAAATATAAACATTAAAATAAACCTTTATAACCCATTAAGACTGTTATTTATTGTTTGTATTGTGTTAGTACTTAGAGACCAGTCAGGGCACAGAAATCCATTGTGATAGATGCCGTTACATGTATGTAGTCTTAAAAAGACTGTTCCTAAGGAGGTTTACAAACTGGGTTAAATCCAAGACTTAGCAAGTGGGTGAAACAAAGGAATCTGAGCAGAAGGGAATTAGGAGTTAACTACAGACTGTGCTGTGTCATATACCGATTTTCCTCATTAAGATATGGTCTGAGATAAACAGGATGAAGTTTAATAAGGACAAATGCAAAGTGCATTTGATTGTTAGGAAGGAACAATCAGTTTCACACGTATAGAATGGGAAGCGACTGTCTAGGAAGGAGTACAGCAAAAAGGGATCGAGGGGTCATAGTGGAACACAAGCTAAATAGGAGTCAACAGTGTGACGCTGTTGTAAAAAAAGCAAATGTGATCCTGGGATGCATTAACAGGAGTGTTGTGAGCAAGACACCAAAAGTCATTCTTCCACTCTGCTCTGCGCTGATTAGGCCTCAATTGGAGTATCGTGTTCAGTTCTGGGCACCACATTTCAAGATAGATGTGGGAAAATGGTGAGGGTCCAGCAAAGAGCAACAAGAATGATTGTCTAAGAAAATGTCGTATGAGGGAAAACGGAAATAACTGGGTTTGTCCTATGAGGGAAAACAGAAATAACTGAGAAGTCAGAGAGGACAGGATAATGGTTTTTAGGTACCTAAAAGGGTGTTACAAGGAAGAGGGAGAAAAATTGTTCTCCTTGGCCTCTGAGGATAGGACAAGACACAATGGGCTTAAACTGCAGCAAGGGAGGTTTAGGTTGGACATTAGGAAAAACTTCCTAACTGTCAGGGTGGTTAAGCACTGGAATAAATTGCCTAGGGAGGTTGAGTAATATCCATCTCTGGAGATAATTAAGAGCAGGTTGGATAGACATCTATCAGGGATGATCTAAATAGTGCTTGGTCCTGCAATGAGGGCAGGGGACTGGACTCAATGACTTCGAGGTCCCTTCCAGTTCGAGTACTTTATGATTCTACGATTTTGTGTCAGCCCTGCTCAGAATCAGGCCCAAAACCAGAGATTTGGGCTTCTTAAGAGAAAATTACTATTCTCGTAATTTTGATTCTTTGAAGATAACTCACAGGATTTCCCTTTTGGGTCTCTTGCTTCTAGAGAGACAAGGAAACTGATATAGTTTAAGAATTAAAAATCAAATTTAACAACATTTTATAGCTTCTTTATTTTCTGAACATAGCACTTCATAGTCAGTTCACTGCTACAGTACTTTACTTACTGCAAGACTTATCATGTGTGAAATCCAAAATCCCAAGATCAGTTGCATTCCAGCAGAGAAATTCTCTAGGTTTTCTATTTACCTGGCTTATTAAACAGAACATCTCACACTTGACTGGGATGACCATGGATGACTAACGCACGCATATCCAAAACCATGACAAGAAATTCTCAGAGGTTATCAGTGCAGGTCTCTGGCTAGCAGAGTTTGGATCACAGAATGAATAAGGTGTCATTTATATTACATTCTAGTTCCAGTTTAATTTTTTAAAAGGGAATTAAAAATGGCCCAGTGTTCACAGACTGAACAGAGATGATGTAACAGAGACAGGCAAGGAATTTCAAAGGTCTGATCCAGTGTGGCAACTCCCCGCATAAAGATCCCAAAAGTAGAACCTCACTAAGCTCCAACTGGGAGTAGGCTCCAATTGACACAAGTAATCTGCTTGCTAATGATAGGGAGAAACCAGTTGTGAAGCTTCGCGCTGCTGACCACGAGGCACTTGAATTTAAAGGAGAACCGCTTCATGAATATATAAGTATTTGATTTCATTAAAGCAAAACCGTATGGGGTTGTGAAACATAGGGTCAAATTTTTCCCAAGTGAAGAGTACAGAATTAAGTTCAGGATTTAGAGATCATTGAGCAACAGGAGGAATATTAATCTGCAACCTGTATCATCCCTCTCCTGAGGTAAAATACATACTGGTGCTGGCTCCTAGAAGCCTTTCCCTGGCCTCAGGATTTCCACCTTGCTGCCGCCACTCCAGGGGGACCACTGGAAGAAGCGACATTCCTCAGAAGAAATAACATAGCCTCAACTAGTCAGGCCTGGAGTGTGTGTGGGGAGGGGAACATGACATGTCTTCTCAGCCCTCTCCTCCCTTCTCCATAGTCTTCCCTTTCTCTGCTCCACTCCCATAAACAGACCCAGGAGCTGCAGGGTACAAAAGGTGGGGACAGAACTGTGGAGACAGACAACCACCTGTTATAAAGAGGGGAGATACAAGGCTCCAAGAATGCCCTTGGTGTGCTGCTCTAAGGGATCTTGGTGGGGGAAGTAAAGGCAGAGAACCTTCAGAAGAGACCATGATGAAAACATGACAGGTATTCCTCTGAAAAAGAATACTACAAGAGTAGCCAAGATGGGCATCTGGAGGGACTGCTCAAAGAGCCAATAGCAACAATCTTGGCAAAGGGTAGAAGCAACCGAGCAAGACTATTTAGAATAAGCTGACGCTAGCAGGGGAAGATACAGACAGATAATGCAAGGCTATGGGTTAATGCTGCTGGAGGGATTCAGGAATATTTAATCAGACTATCAGAGAAGAAGAATACTAGAAAGAGGAAGGAGATTAAATGGGGTTGCAATTTTAAAACGCTTCTCCACGGCTCAAACCAACTCATTCTTTAAAACAACTCATGTAAAGACGTGGACATGACTAGGATGCAATGACAAGATTGCTATTGAGTGTCTGATCCAGATGCTAACCCTCCCATGATCTTACAGTCATTTCCAAATAAGCTTAACAAACCAATGACAGTTTTGGGTTTTTTTTTTTTTTTTTTTTTGCTTTTTTTAAGTCCTGCAGAAGTTGGCAGGTGCCAAAGAGATGGCAAAAAACATAAATCTGGTAACAGTTCTCCCCTAATCCCTGTCCAAAAGGAAATAAGAGGTCCTGACAATTAATATCCACCACTATTATTTATTTGTATTGAGGCAGAATCTAGAGGTCCCAATCAAGGACCAGACCCCCATCAGGTTGGATGCTGTAAATACAACAACAAAAAGACAATTCCTGCCCCACAAAATGTATAATCACTAAGCATGTGATGGCAGATTAGAGATGAATACAACAAGCAGATGAGGGAAAAGGTAAATCAATGCATCTGACATTAATCTTCAGTAAAATCGTGGAATATTAAGAACTACGCAAGTATCAGGAGCACAATGAAACTATGAGCACCTCGCACCTGAATTTCATGAAGATAAAAGCATGCTATAAAAATCTTGTTCTTTTCTGTGCGTAATTACAAAATGACTGGATAAAAGAAATGCAGTGGATGAGAAATTTTTCTGTCTTACAGTCTTACTTGAAAAGATAATTTAGATCATTGTGAATATGAACAACATTATGCAAACTGAAAAGTAGCTGACAGACCATAAAGGAAGGTAATTGACAAAAAGTAATGTAGCAAGTTGTGAGAAATGATCATCATGTTTGAGGAGGAAGGTATACAATACTAGCTACTGCAGCAGGTATATTAGGTGTGATCATCCTAAGTGAGGAAGCTAAGGCAGAAAATCCCTTTGAGATTCTCACTGCATAAGACAGCTGCTCATCACCCCTCAATCAGACGGCCCATTAAGGGAGAAGAATTGTTCAGGGCTTAAGAAAGGAGAAATGGGCGTAAAAATGTGTGTGTAAAAAAATGTAGGCTGACTTATCGATAATGAAATCTATCAGGTTGTGGAATACCCTCCCAAAAACAGGGATGAGGGGCCCCAGGGATGGATTGGACAAGACCAAATAATACACCTTCTCATCACTATCTTTCATGATTCTGTCAGAAAAAACTGAACACATTTTTAATCTGGAAGTGGGGAAAGACACTGATTGAAATTAGGGGGCATGTTCTGAGCAGAAGGAACTGGGAATCAAGTACACATCCCCCCAAACTACAACAGAACTTTTGGATTAATTGTTACCAACACTGGACACTGAACCTTGATTCTGCTATGTCACCTTTCAGACAATAAGCAGTTTGGTTGAATCATAATGCCTTGACAGTGTTGCAGTGTTAGGCTCATAGCAAAAATCTGACTCCCTGCAAAAGAGTAAAAATCACATGGTTTTGATCTTTAACTCAGAAGAGAGACATTTCTCTCTCCAGATGCAGAGAAACAGGGCTCCTAGGAAAGGACTGGGAGGTTTCTTGCACAGTCGCAGGCTTGGCACCTCACATGGTTGTTCTGCACCCACTACCTATTCTGGATTCAAATTATCACAGAATAACAGTCTGCGTAACAACCCTTTGAATCTGTATTTCTGTGGATTTGAGTTTATTGGCTGTATTCCCCATTTGTTATTAACTGCTTTGTTCTTACAACAGGAAATCACAAGACTCATTGAGTTGAACACAATCATCAAAGACATGAAAAAGCCACCTAACTGACCAAGAGGCTGTAACATCAGAAAGCACTTAAAACGACAGAAAAAATAGAGGAGAAAGATGATCTTATGCTCAAGGCATTGGGCCGAGTCTCTGGAAATCTGGGTTCAATCCCTGGCAATGTAACAGATTCAGCATATGAACTTGGGCAAGTAACTTAAAGTCCTACACACACTTCCATTTTAGCAAGCTTGCACTCTAACAGAAAACCTTAACAGTGACCTTAGCAATGTGCAGCAGAATAGCTTTCCAAATGCATGGAATGTGCGAGACATGCTGATCTGTTGACATAATATAAAAGCATAGGAGGTGAGTGGTTTTTTGTTAGTGTGTGAATTTAATGGAGATGGGGTATGTATCGCTTTTGAGCATCTGTTGAGGATGGAAACAAAAGCCACACAGAATGCTGGAGCCAGCCTTTGCATTGCTTGTAGCAATGCTGATAATATGCAAGTCTCTCCTGTAAGTTCTTATTTCCATGCTTTTCAGGTTGTAAATGTATAAGTTGAGTCCCTCAGCAACCTTAGCCATCACTAACCATAGGTAGTCTTCTGCTGTAACCCTCAAAGGCTACTCCGATCAGACAGAAACTGGACAGAAGGAAACCACAAAAGAGTGGATATTGAGTGGCAATTTTTTAGGGGGGGGGGGGACCCTTGAAGAGGAAAGCATTCCACCCAATCGTCAGGTTGAGCACTAGGCTCCAGAATGCAGAATTTCACATACACATTTAGTCCTGGTGTGAAATGAGTTGGGGGAGGGGGTCTCAGTTTGCTTCATATAAGCTAACTGTACACACTGCAAAAACCTTCAAAAATGGTCACTAACTAGAAGCCTTTTGGACAATCTCAGCAGAGTCAACTATGGCTAAGGCCTGGTGTTCTAGAACAGCACCAGAAACTAGGAGGTCTAACAGTTCCAATCCCTGTTCTACCATTAGCTTGTTATATAAACTTGGATGGCTCCTCTGTGCCTCGGTTTCCTTGTCTATAGAGTGCATCTAACATTTGCTCTCAGTATTCTTGTGCTGTTGAAATTCAAGGTCTTTAACATACAGAACCACGCAAATGTTATCATTGTTATTAAAGAATGAATACCTCCTTTGTCCCTGGACAGGGTCCCACCACACTGAAGATGCTTTAGCAAGACAGCTTCTGAAAGCTCCCACCATTATTGCCCTTGCTGAACCTGCTCAGTAGATGGAAGCAATCAGTTCAGAAATGTCAATCTGCCACCTTTCATCAATGCTATGCTCTCGCAAACATTTTCTTAAAAGCCAACGGTGTTACTGCCCCCCAAAAAGAAACTACTGTATACTGAGGTAGTGCCTAGAAGATCTAGAATTAGATGCTTTGCGAACGTAGTTCCCCAAAAAGCATACACTCGAATATAAGACAAGACAGCAAGTGAAAAACAGGGGGAGACACCGACAGCACAATGATCATATCTGGTACAATAATTCATATTTATAAGATAAAATAATTCCTAGACCACTGCACTATTAAAATATCCACAAATTAGGTCAAGTTTTATATGCAGCACTGTAACAGAAATACTATTACTGGTTGAAACTCTCAAGTCCAGCACCCTCAGGACCTAACAAGTCCCGAACCAGAGAATTTTGCCAGACCATGGAAGGTCAGTATTGTCTAGCAGCAGAACCAACATTTCCATTGCTCTTAGAAGACAGTTAGGGGTAAGAGCCAGGGCTGGTGGCTGCAAATAAATTTTATGGGACTGCAAGAAACTTGGCCACACCCATGACAAATGGACATCCAGCTAACTAAAATCATGCCAGACCAGGGATGTTGCTGGAACAGAGAATGCCAGACTTGAGAGGTTCAACCTGTATTAAAGGTCTGCAAACTCAACCTAACACTATCATACCCCACATAACAGGGTAGGGGGGTTCATTTTTATGTTCTCCCTGCTGCTAAAAGAGCCCCTTTCTCATGGACAGCCTGATGGCTCATAATTACCTATGTAGTATGTATAAGTACAGTAAAACTCCATTAGTCTGGCATCCAATGCTCCGGGACTCCTAATGGTCCGGCACCACCAGGAACCCGGAAGTGCTGGGGCAGCCAGACAGGCTTCCCCCATTCAGCTGCTGCTGAAACTGACCAGCAGCTGAATCGGGGAAGCCGGGAGCAGAGCAGCTGGGGTCCTGCCAGGTTGGTCCCGCAGCGCCGAGGGGCGGCACTACGAGACCAACCCCGCAGCACCCCAGCTGCTCTATTGCAGGCATCCCCAATTCAGCTGCTGCTGAAACTGACCAGCAGCTGAATCGGGGAAGCCGGGAGCAGAGCAGCTGGGGTCCTGCCAGGTTGGTCCCGCAGCGCCGAGGGGCGGCACTACGAGACCAACCCCGCAGCACCCCAGCTGCTCTATTGCAGGCATCCCCAATTCAGCTGCTGCTGAAACTGACCAGCAGCTGAATCGGGGAAGCCGGGAGCAGAGCAGCTGGGGTCCTGCCAGGTTGGTCCCGCAGCGCCGAGGGGCGGCACTACGAGACCAACCCCGCAGCACCCCAGCTGCTCTATTGCAGGCATCCCCAATTCAGCTGCTGCTGAAACTGACCAGCAGCTGAATCGGGGAAGCCGGGAGCAGAGCAGCTGGGGTCCTGCCAGGTTGGTCCCGCAGCGCCGAGGGGCGGCACTACGAGACCAACCCCGCAGCACCCCAGCTGCTCTATTGCAGGCATCCCCAATTCAGCTGCTGCTGAAACTGACCAGAAGCGGCTGAATCAGGGACACCTGGGGTAGAGCCGGACTATCGGAAGGGGGGGGCTATGAGGGTTCTGGGGGGGCATCCCCTCCCACCCCACTCCAGACCCCTCATAGCTCCCCCTTCTGATAGGCCGGCATATCTGATAATCCGGCACCCCCTGGGTCCTAAAGGTGCTGGATTATCGGAAGTTTACTGTAGTATATGACAGTCACAGAAGCCATAGAATAAACTCCTTTATTTTGGTGACCACGAGGCTATTGGATGCTACCTAAATAATCAGCATGCCAAATACTATGGACACAGAACAGGGGGGTGCACCAACTCAACTAATGAACACAGAAGTAACTATGGATCTAAACACTGATCTCAGCAGAGCACTAATGAGGTACTGCTGCATAGCAGGTGCAGAAAAAAGCAAAAAGTAAATACAGTAAGGAAAAAGGTGGTCCCCCTTGAATATTCTTGGCCGTAGATTTACTTGTAATGCATGTTAGGAGTGTTTTCAAGGACAATTCTCTAAGGTGATGACAGAGATTGTAGCTCTTGATCAAAATTTCAATGCCATTTGACTTATGTTATTAAGATGCTGCATTTAAACTACCACTTCAGGAAGAAATTAAGCACTCTATCAATGGAGGGTATTGGGGCAAAAGATTGGGTGACGGACTTAAAGGCACAGTCAAGGATGGTTGAAAATTACCCTATTTCTGAGAGGAGATCCCTCGGCACCAGGCACTTCCCCAACCTGTCTTTCCAGAATCTTTCTCGCTATTTGTTTTGTAATGCAAAGGTTAGCGCCTTCACACATGTTATTTAAAATCTGGTTGAGGAAAATATATCCCTCCTCAAACTCAGTCATGCATCCCAGTAGAACAGAGTTGTACCATGTCTCAGAGCAAACTGGTAAAAGTTGGTCTCTCTTTATGGAAGGGGACTGTTGGCGCCTTACTAAAACTCAGTTGGAGTTTTTGGTTGGCCAATTCCCGGTACCAAAAGAGGACGGGTCCATGAGAAATCAGGGCCCTGAGATTGACGGACCCCAGGGACAATGGGAAGAAGCCAACACCCCAGGTCAGCCCGATTGACAGGATGGACAGGACAATGGAGGAATTAGGAGGCCAGGTCCCGTCCTCTGTGTATGCTGGGATATTCTGGGTCTGAGTCAAAGAGGCGGAGAGCTAAGAAGAGTAGCAAGGGGTCCAGGCTGTACTGAGGAACAGACCTGCAGTGACAGAGCCGGAGGCCCATACAACCCACAGAGCGCAGACCCTGTGCTAAGAACAAGAAGCACACCTTCAGCGACAGAGCCAGACACACACAGCCCAAGGAGTGCAAGCTGCACGGAGAGGCAGACATACAGTGACCAGAGGGGTCAGAGGAGCAAGCAAGGAGCTAGAGGCTGGCAAAGCAACAGTCTGCAGCTGGGTGTGGTGAGCAGCTGGGACCAGCAAAGTGAGGGGAGAGGCTCTGGGCAGGGAGACACCACCAGCCAAGACTTGGAGAGGTATTGTAACTCCAGCTGGGAGAGGGGTCCTGCTACCTAGAGCCTGAAGGCATGTAGTCACTGCCAGAGCAATCCCCACCCTCCACCCCCCCCCCCCTTCCCCCCCGCAGCACAACCAGGGCCTGAGAAAGAGCCCTGGGACCTATAAAGAACAGACTGTGAACTGTCCTTACACTCTGCAGTCTGCTGTTTCTGATGTCCCCGTGCTACAGAGCAGGACTGCATGTTCTCATTTAACCTCTCTCATTTTTTCCTTATTCTTTTCTTTTTAATCAGTTGCTGTTTAATAAATGGTATTTGCTTTGAACTGTATGTAATGATCACTGGGTCAAGAAAGCATCCAGTGTGAAGAGAGCACCCCGAAGTGGGGACACCCTAGCTCCTGCCCTAAATAACTACAAGGTCGGGGATTAAGCCCTAGAAAATCTGGGCCCAGCCTTGTTGGGATTTCGAGGACTCTGCTACGCAGGAGAGTGGAAGGGGAGCCCTCAGGGTCAGAGAGGCTTTTGGGGAAAAGAAGTGGGAGCAGGGATTCAGATCTTTCGCTGGTCCATTTCACCGGAGTAGTATATAAGCCAGGAAAGTTCCCCACAATAGCGGGACCATTCCCCTGCTTACATTTATTTGGCTGTAGGGTGACCTCACCTGGAACAATATGTTCAGTCCTAGGCATCTAGCTGCCAGAAAGATATTGACAAATTGATGGGAGCTCAGAAAGAGCACTTAAATCATTGGGGTTGGATTTGTGACGGAAAATTAAATAAGGCTGAAGCTGTCTACAGCAGTGTGGGTAAGCAAGGATATGAGCGCAATCAGCAAACATTTGAAGGTTGTAAACACCAAGAGGGCAGAAGTAATATGGATAAAACATTATAAAACATAATTTCTACTGTACAGCAAAACAGGGCCTCACTGACATTAAGTCATCTCTTCCTCCCCTCCCAGTTGATTTGCAAAATAAAGACTGATTAAATCTCCAATGCAGGACCCTCTTGGATGTAAATCCTGCCCCTCTAGCTCAGGTTTTAAGGATTACTCTCTCAAGCATTGATACCTTATCTAGCAAACTCATTTAAAGA